GTACGCCTGGCTCCAGAGGTACCTCTCCTGAGGCTGCAGTACTGGAAGTACCACTCACGCAGCTACTCCGAGGAGAGGGCTCCGCCACGTGTAGGACCCTCAGGCTCAAGACCTCCAGATTCAGAACCCCCAGACTCCGGACTCTGCGGCTCAGCACCCCCAGGCTCATTACTCCCAGGCTCACCACCCCCAGGCTCCGCACCCCAAGGCTCAGCACCCCCAGGCTCCGCACCCCCAGGCTCCGCACCCCCAGGCTCCGCACCCCCAGGCTCCGCACCCCCAGGCTCAGCACCCCCAGGCTCAGCACCCCCAGGCTCAGCACCCCCAGGCCCCGCACCCACAGCAGGACGAGAGTCGACAGCTACCTCAACAGGCTCAACCGGGTCTACCTGAGACACACCTGAGGGAGCGGCACCCTGAGGGGGGAGGGGGTCTACGACAGCTGCACCTGGCGCGAGGAAGAGAGGCGGGGGGGGGGGAGCGGGGCAGTGCGGTAGGGGAAGAGGCGGTAGTAGGGGACGGACTCGTCAAAAGTGACATCCTGAGAGGGCAAGACTCGGCGCGAGGTGGCGTGGTAAAACTGCCAACCAGGCGCGTCCCGGACAAAGCCGAGGAAGACGCAGGGAACAGCACAGGAGGAGAGCTTGTCCGCAGACGTATCGAGGACAAAAGCTCGAGATCCCCAGACCCGGCAACGCGACGCATCGCCAACCTCCCCCGTCCACAGCAGTGTGGGCGAGGTCTCTGGCAAGGAGACACGGGGCCAGAGGTTGAGCTGATGCGCAGCGTACCGGACCGCAAACAGCCACAGAAAGTGGGGGGCAGCCGCATGGATCAAGGAGGTACGGGCGACCTCCATGACCAGGCCAATGCGGCGCTCTGCAATCCCATTCTGATGTGGAGAGGCCGGAAGCGTGAACGACTGCTCAATGCCGTGCTTAGCACAGTAGGCTGCCAAGAGGTCGGAGGAGAACTCACCACCTCTATCAGAGTGCAAGCGCAGGATAGGAAAGTCCGAGTGGAAACGCTCGCTGAGCTGGAGACGGGCTCTGCGGATCCAAGGGATCAAGACATCAGGGACCTCACCCTTGGTGCGCAAGGGGAAGACCGTGGTGTAGCGCGAGTAGTCGTCAACAACTATCAGGAAGTACCTCTCCTGACCCTGACCACGGACGCGGGCTGGGCCCCACACGTCCATGTGGAGCGTCGGCAAGGGAGCATACGTCAGGAGAAACGAGGAGGAGTGAGGAGCGGCGCGCTGCCGCCCCTCGACGCAGGGAAGACAGGGAGGAGCAGGCGAGGGTGGGAGGGGAGGGAGGACTCTGGGAAGACCGGAGACAAGGTACCGGGAGTGCATGGCACGAAGGCGCTGCACAGACGGGTGGCCAAGTTGGTGGTGCCAGAGGACAGTCTCGTGCGCCAGAGAGCGACACGAGCAGGGGACAGACAGCTGACCTGACACAGACGCAGATGCAGCGACCTGAGGGGACTCAGTGGTCAGTGTGTACAGGTCCGACCCCGGCTGCCGAGTGAAGGTAGCCAAGTGGCGGCCCGTACCAGCACACGTGCAGTGTGTCACGCGCTCGTAGGCAGGGGTGAACTGGTGAACACCCCCGTCCTGGAATGCACTACTTGCCACCAAGTTCGTAGAGAACGAGGGGAGGTGGAGACCTAACAGTGTGCCCGACGGGACCGCAGGACAGGGAAGGACAGTGGAGGAGGTCGCAATGAACGGACCGCGAGAGGGGTCAGCGAGGGAGACAGCAATTGGCCGAGCAAGCGGCTCAAGGGCAGTGCGGTCACGAAAGAAGCAGCGAGAAGCACCTGAGTCCAGTGTGAAGGTGTGCAGTGCTGCCGTCGACTCAGTACCAGGGGGGGCAGACGCACAAGCACCTTGAGCAGCTGCCTCACCAGCACCTGGGGTAGCAGACACGCGAGTATCTGGAGCGGTAGACGCACTAGTCCTAATGCCCGGGTCGGGCGGCACACACAAGTACTCAGCACCCTCTCCACTAGTAGACATCACATACATAGCAGATAGAATAACATCAAAGTCTAAAGCATAGATATCAATCCCCTTCCTCAGGAGATCAATCCAGCGGGGCAGCTCAGTGGCGTGAGGGAACTGAACACGCCAAGCATCGTTGAGACGAGCGAAGCAGCGCTGTGTGGTGTGCGATCCCCCACACGGCTGACCAGTGCGGTCACCCGTGCGAATGACGTACATGCAGCTAAAGCCACCCCCCCCCCCCCCCCCCCCGTGCTGTGAGTACCACTCACGGACGTCCTGGGGCGACGGAGTGTGCTGCTGGCCCTGGCCACCGCCAGCGCCTCCACGACCACCACCGCCGCCGCCACCTCCTCGATCACCTCAACCCCTGCCGCCGCCGCGTCCACCGCCACCCCCACTATCGCCTCCGCCCCTGCCACCTCCCCCGCCGCTGCCGCCACCACCCCCACCGCTACCACTAGCACCACCAGTCCCACCACCACCCCAACAGCCGCCACCACCCCCACCACCGCCTCCCCCGCTGTCACCACCTCCTCCCTTGCCCCCTTTGCCCTTGCCGCTGCGGCGCCCGCTCGAAGCAGACGCAGCACCGACCTTCTCAGCACCAAGGAGGTCGACAGCAGCAGCAGAGGCGACAGAGGGAAGAAGGGGGGAAGGAGAACACCCCTCAAAGAACGGGGTACGGGGTTCGCCACGAGAGGCACCTACAGCTACGATGCTAGCCTCAGCTGCAAGCAGTTCCCTCTCGAGGAGGGCAATGGTGAGCTCAGTGGGGCAGCGAGCTAGGAAGTGATCCCTGACAGCACGCAGAGTGTCAAGGAAGCGGGTGACTAGGTGGTAGAGAGTGAGCCAGAGTGGGGGGGGGGTGCGTGGCAAGGAACTCATCAGGCATGGCGGCACGGAAGCGGGCCTCACTAGTACGGAGGTGCGTGATGAGGTCAGCGACTGTGTGGAACGAGGCCAGGTCGGGAAACAGGTAGGGGAGGGAGAGACGGCCTAGCGTGGCTGAGGCAGGTGAGGAGTAGCGAGCAACGACAGCTGTGTACAGTGCCTGTGCAGTCTTGTGCTGGCCAAAGTGCTCGCGCTCGTCTATCGGCAGGGAGTTGCGAATAGCAAAGCGAGCGTGGGCATCACGAGTCTGCCACTGTGAGCGAGCAGTGCTGTCAGCAGTAGCAGCAGGGGCAGTGACATGGCCTAGGGCGTGGTCGTATAGTGAGATGTCGTCCTTGGCTGTGAGCTGAAGATAGATGTGCAGGTCGTCTAGCCAGGTGTCAAACTTCACTGGGCGGCCCTCAGCATCGAAAACTAGCACGTGTGGGCTAGCCATAGGAGCAGTAGGAGTAGCAGTAGGAGTAGGAGGATGAAGCAGGTAGGGCGGCTCGGTTTTGGTAGGGCGGCGCGGCTCGGGTGGGGCGGCGCGGTTCGGTTCGGGTCGCGCGGCTCGGCTCGGGTCGCGCGGCTCGGCTCGGGTCGCGCGGCTCGGTTCGGTCCTGGGCGGCTCGGTTCGGTCCTGGGCTGTGGCGGTCACGGACCGTTCGGGGCCTCTAGGGAGGTGAGCGAGGGGCCGTAAAGGGGGCTCTAGGGGCCGACGGGGCCGTTCGGGGCCTCTAGGGGCCGACGGGGCCGTTCGGGGCCTCTAGGGAGGTGAGCGCGGGGCCGACGGGGCCGTAAGGGGCCTCTAGGGAGGTGAGCGCGGGGCTGACGGGGCCTTTCGGGGCCTCTAGGGAGGTGAGCGCGGGGCCGACGGGGCCTTAAGGGGCGGGTCGCGGGTCGCTAGGGGGCGGGTCGCGGGTCGCGGGGCCTTAGAGGGCCGTGAAAACCGAGGCGCCCTAGGGCGCAGGTAGGTAGGTAGGTAGGTAGTGGTGGGCCCTAAAAAATCGGTCCTAGGAAGGACCTGCTCTATACCATGTTGAAATGAATGAACAGGAATGGTTGAACTAACAGTGAAATCAGTACAAGTACCTAACCCTAGAATTGTGTACCCCCTATAGGCTAACCCACTGTAGCCTAAACAAGCACAACATATATAATGTTTGACAAATACATCGCCGCGACAGCAGCAGTTCGCGAAGGATTGTACCTGCAGGAGCTGCTACAGGAAGCGAAAATCCCAATCTCGCCTACCTTTCGTCTTCACTACGACAACTGGAGTGCCATCAGGATCGCGAACAAGCCAGGATCCGTGAACCGCACGAAGCACATCGCACTTCGGTATTTTTTCGTCAAGGACAAAATTGACCAAGGAAAGGTTGACCTCGCCTACTGCCCTACTACTGAGATGGCGGCAGACTTCCTCACCAAACGTCTGCCACGTCAGCAGTACAAGCACTGCACTGACCTCACCGGAGTAGTCAAGCGAGTCAGCTCCACCCGCGTCCAGGAATGAAGGGGAGTGTTACGATATGAAGTTTTATGAGAAGGCATTCCTGTATGTCAAGTTATATTTATATGTTATGTTTAGGTTGTCTAGGCTATATGGGGGTTAGCACTAGGGGGTACAACATTTCTCTCGACATTCTTCTTGTACCCCCCCTTAACCTAATCAATCACACAACTTCATGCCTAAGATTATAAAACTGTATGCTGCAGGAGCCGACTCTACGGAGTACGAAGTCGAGGAGTCAGAAGAGTCGAAGCGTCACGGCAACCGCCTGACCAAGACCGATGCAGGCAGAAACATTTGAAGTGGAAAGAGCGGGAACAGGTTCACAACGGGTTCCCGCATCGCACGGTTTGAAATTGCTGTATTAAGGGAATGTACCCCTTAGATTACATGGCTAGCCTAGGTCTTTTCGTATTCCCCTGTATTCTTATATAAACCTGATGTATGCATGCCATTATCAACTCAGTCATTTACATTCACTCTGACCTGAGATTCAAACTTCCGCTGCAAACACTACTCTGCGATCAACCCTGAGCGATCCTTCGCTAAGTCCCACTTGGGATTGTAACACCAAACAACGCCAGAGCTCCACGAAACGCTCATACATCATGCCATGCCCATATTACGCCATGGGCCCCACACAGCTCCAACAAGGGTCAGAACTGATAATCCCATCAGTGCCCACCCGCCCACTTGGGAATGACTCGCAAACACCTCTTCATGCTTACGGTCCCCAAACCACATCACAGCATTGTCCAGCGTCCAGTCCTTTTTTTTAGTCGACTCAGAAAAAGACTCACTGTCCAGCGTCCAGTCCATTCCCCTCTCCAAGCCCTTCCCACGCCTTGCTTCCTCTGCCCCACCGTTCCCCTCCCTCACACCACCCCTTCCATCACCTCCTCCCTCTGCTGCACAGCTTTCTGCTCCTCCTACACTCTCTGCCTTGATCGCTTCGGTCGGGGGTATGTTGGTGGAAGAGAGAGGGTACGGGGCAGGTGTTATCTGGACAGGCATGACTGAGGCGACATAGTCAGTGACTGGCACCTGTTGGGGGTAAGAGGAGGATCGCGAGAGGGAGGAGTGGGAAGAGCAGAGGGGGGAAAAGTGACTGCCTGGTGGATGGAGGTACAAGGTGGTACAATGAAATGGTTGTCTGCCAACTGCTATCTTGGCAGGACGCAGAGGTAAGCAGCAGGAGGTAAGCAGCAGGAGGTAAGCAGCAGGAGGTATCTGGGTGCGATGCCAATGGCATGGCATGGCATGCACGCATTAGGTGGCACAAGAAAATGGTAATCACCAACTGCCCTCTTGGCAGGACGAGAATACAGGTAAGCAGAAGGAGGCATCTGGGATGCCAATGGAATGGCATGGGCATTGCAGTGTAGGCATCACCTGGTGCAGGCATCATCACCTGGTGCAGGCATCATCACCTGGTGCAGGCGTCATCACCTGGTGCAGGCATCATCACCTGGTGCAGGCATCACCTGGTGCAGGCATCACCTGGTGGAGAGGCGAGGGGAAGTTGACGCTGCGGTAGCCCGGAGTGGACATGAGGAACCGTGGATCGTACGACTCAAAGAGACTGCACAGGCATGGTGCGGGATGATACGGGCAGGGCATAGTGACAGGGAGCTTGTGTATGGCATGGCATAGCCCGGAGTGGACAGGAGGAACCGTGGTTCGTACGACTCAAAGAGACTGCACAGGCATGGTGTTGCGCACATGGCATGTCATGACACAGCACATCATGATATGTCATGACACAGCACATAATGGCATGTCATGACACAGCACAGCATGGGATGTCATGACACAGCACAGCATGGGATGTCATGACACAGCACAGCATGGGATGTCATGACACAGCACAGCATGGCATGTCATGGCCCAGAGTGGACATGAGGAACCGTGGATCGTACGACTCAAAGAGACTGCATAGCGCACATGGCATGGTGTAAAATTGCATGGCATGGCGTGGCATGGCATGATAACAATAGGAAGCATGTGAGGAAAGGTTATGTTGCTCCAGTAGAGTCACTTTGGGGGTTGTGAAAGGTAAGGTTCGTATACGGCATGGCTGCAGTGGTGCTTGCAGTGGTGCTTGCAGTGGTGCCTTTTTTGAGACGTCTCAAAAGGTAAGGTTCTTATACAGCATGGCTGCAGTGTTGCACACACATGAGTGTGGGTTGGCTTGTGCACATACATGGTGTTGGCCGCACACTCATGGGTTTCGGGTGGCCGAGAGGAGGCCATTAGACTGCGACAAGAAAATAGACTTCAGCATACTGTTGCATGAAATAACCGAAACTACTTGAGAAGGTGTTAACTGCCAAGGGAGGTGTTACCTGGCGAGAGAGACGTTGGAGCGAGCATTGATTTGATGCAGAAACTGCAGCGTGTGGTATGTGAAGAGATCCACCACTGTGACTCCCAGCTGCATGAAAGAAGGAGAGGGAGAAGAGGAGTGGCGGGGAGAAGAGGGGTGCGGGGATTGGAGGGGAGATCGAGGGAAGTGAGAAACTGCAGCGTGTGGTATGTGAAGAGATCCACCACTGTGACTCCCAGCTGGACGCAGGAGACAAGAGACAAGAGGAGTGGTGGGGAAGTCTAGTTTTGAGGCGCCAGGGAATGTATCAAAGTCAGGGAGGTAGGAGTAGGACTTCTCAAAGCAGCATGTGACCATAGCAGAACGTGCTTATCTCACAATGCGCTGATGTGTTTGTGCAAGCATGCGCTCACATTAATGGCAAGCATGCGCTCACATTAATGGCAAGCATGCGCTCACATTAATGGCAAGCATGCGCTCACATCAAGGTCAGGCAGGCAGGAGCAGGACATGTAATAGCACAGTGCAATACGACCAAAGCGTGCTATCACAAGATGTGCCTGTAATGCATGTGCTTACATCGAGGTCAGGTAGGTAGGAGTAGGACATCTCGCCCTTGGCACTGCTGGCGACAGAGACAATGCCGGGGGAGTAGATCTGTGGGGCGGGAGGGGATCACAGGGTGGGGAGCGCAGAGGAGGGGAGGCAAAGGATGAAGGGTGAAGGGCGAAGGGCGAAGGGCGAAGGGCGATGGTGTGTTTCAATTGGCACTGCTGGCGACAGAGTCAATGCCGGAGGAGTAGATCTGCACGGAGGGGGGGAAGGGGGAAAAGGGCGAACGGTGAAGGACAATACTGTCGGCCTTGGCACTGCTGGCGACAGAGACAATCCCTGGAGAGTAGATTTGGAGTGAGTAGATTTGGAGTGAGGGGGTCACAGAGTGACGGGATCACAGAGTGAGGGGGTCACAGAGTGAGGGGGTCACAGAGGGAGGGGGTCACAGAGTGAGGGGGTAAATGGCAAGGGGCGCAGAGCGAATGATGTTGACTGGTGGCGAGAGAGACTATTCTGGGGAGATGAATTGGATGGAGTGGATGGCAGGGTGGTGGGGATGGCAGGGTGGTGGGGATGGCAGGGTGGTGGGGATCACAGGGTGGTGGGGATCACAGGGTGTTACCTCGGAGTAGTGGGTTTGCGCCTGGCATGTGTCAATCATAAGGAGTATGGAGAGAGGGAGAGAGAAATAGATTGGTAAGGAGGCATACTATTCGCTGCAGAGCAGCATCAGAGCAGGGCATACCTCGGAGTAGAGAGTTTGCGCCTGGCATGTGTCGATCATGAGAAGGATTGAATGGTACCTGGGATGGGACAGGGGAAAGGGTGGTGGAAAAATATGGGAGAGGAATGGTGAAATTCAGTTGCTTTTAACTGTCCATCAAGAGGAGGATGAAATGGCACCTGGTGGATGGGACAGGGGAAACAGAGGTGCCATATGGGAGAAAAGAGAGGTATGGGAGGTGCTGATATGGGATAAGGAAGGAGGTTATCCAATGGCATTATGCGACCATGCGGAGGATCAATTCGTACTTGCTGCTGTGACAGAAAGAAGGGGGCTGAAGGAGGGGGGGGAGGGGAGGAAGGGGGGAATGATTGATTGAAAGGGGTGACGCCAGGGTGCAGGTCAGGTGACTCTGGCAGGGAAAATGGGCGCCTGAATATTGGAGGAAAAAGATGTCTGAACCCGGAATCGAACCGGAGACCTCCAGTGTGTGAGACTGGCGTGATAACCGACTACACCATCCAGACATGCTGACCATAATCCTGGAAATATACTGGACATTCATCAGGTCAAATAGGATGCAACAGGTGTCAGAGGAGATGCTGCTGCTCACCTGTGACCTTGGGTGCATATGTTTAGTCTAGGCCCAGATTAGTGGTTAGGCCAGATCTAGTAGTGTCAGAAAGAACGACGGCACACCTGTGCTGCTGGTGCATGTGGTGAAAGGCGTCAGCCAAATCTTGAGCCTGCAGCTCCTCTTTGTCGCGGAATTTCAGAAACTTGTCTCCCCCGTGGCCCGTGAGGTAGATGGGGATGTGACTGCTGGTTATGTGAGAGCCGGGAGGAACGCACGAACAGCGAGGGACGACCCACCCACCTGTGCTGCTGGTGCATGTGGTGAAAGGCGTCGGCCAAATCCTGAGCCTGAAGCTCCTCCTTATCACGGAATTTGAGGAACTTGTCTCCCCCGTGGCCCGTGAGGTAGATGAGGATGCGGCTGCTGCCGTCCGAGAGAAGCCGCTTGCTACGCGGAACAGACGAATCGTGCCGCCCGGTGAGCAGGCGCAGGAACGCATCGACTGTCACCTCAGCCCCGCGGTAGTCCACCTGAGAGAGAAGGGGGGCAGGGGGGGTAACAGGGGGGAAGGGGGAGGGGAGGGGGGTGGGGAAGGAGGGTGAGCATTGATATAAGAAGGAACGCATCCACTGTCACCTCGGCCCCACGGTAGCCCACCTGAGAGAAGGGGAAGGGGAGAGCAGGGGGGAGGCGGGAGGGGGAAGAGGGAGGGGAGATAAAGGGGTGAGGAAGGGCTGTGTGTGTGTCTGTGCTGCAATGCATCGACTGTCACCTCGGCACCGCAGTAGCCCACCTGAGAGCCAAGGGGGAATGTGGCGGTGGTTGGTTGAGGCTGTGGAAGACACAGAGACATGATCACAACCCGTCTCAACACCCTCGGCTCACCTCCACGTGCTCCCCATAGAGGTCCAGGCGGTGGTTGGGGCTGTGAAAGACAGGAATCATGTCACCCAGAAGTGCCAACACATGGTCAACCCCTGTACCCTCCACGTAGGGCACTACCCTCTCCTCACCTCCACGTGCTCGCCATAGAGGTTCAGGCAGTGGTCGGGTTTTTTTAGTTGACTCAAAAATCGACTACTCACGCTCGCCATAGAGGTTCAGGCAGTGGTCGGGTTTTTTTAGTTGACTCAAAAATCGACTACTCACGCTCGCCATAGAGGTTCAGGCAGTGGTTGGGGCTGTGGAAGACACGGCATCAAGCCCATGTGATACCACTTTTCCGAGAACCACATTCAATAACACCATTCCAGCACCACCCTCATCTCCACGTGAAATACAAGTTGTCTCAACACGCTCATCTCACCTCCACGTGCTCCCCATAGAGGTTCAGGCGGTGGTCAGGGCTGTAGAAGGCAGACAGGCACATGCAATACAGCCCGTTTCATTGCCTGCACCTTCACATGTGCGATCTACCAGCATCCTCAATACCCTCATCTCACCTCCACGTGCTCGCCATAGAGGTTCAGGCGGTGGTCGGGGCTGTGGAATCTACACACGAGCACGCCTGGAGCCCAGCACTACCACTGCTACCACCCCAAAAACTAGCATCTCTAACACTCATTCCTCCCCTCACCTCCACGTGCTTGCCATAGAGGTTCAGGCGGTGGTCGGGGCTGTGGAAGACAATCAACTGGCCCATCAATCCCCAGTTCAAACATCCTCAATTCAAACATCCCCAACATCCTCATCTCACCTCCACGTGCTCGCCATAGAGGTTGCGGCGATGGTCAGGGCTGTGGAAGACAGGCATGCACCACCAGCATTACCAATGTTACCACCCCCAATACTACTACCCCCACCCCTCACCTCCACGTGCTCAGCAGTGGTTGGGGTGGAAGACAGATAAGCACGGGTGAGGCTCATCAGCCCCCATCCATGACCCATCTACCAGCAGCGCCCCTAGATTCAATTCGATCCCCCTCCTCTCACCTCCACGTGCTCCCCATAGAGGTTCAGGCGGTGGTCGGGGCTGTGGAAGACGCGGCCAGGGTGGGGGTTGCGGGGATTGCAGGGCATGTTGTCATCCATCACCCTCTATTGATGCTACCGATGCCACCAGCCCCCCACCACCCCTCACCTCCACGTGCTCCCCATAGAGGTTCAGGCGGTGGTCAGGGCTGTGGAAAACACACAATCGTGCCACCCAGACCATTTAAAAGACTACCACCATCCTCAATACTAGCATCCTCAATAGTAGTATCTTCAACATCTCACCTCCACGTGCTCCCCGTAGAGGTTCAGGCGGTGGTCGGGGCTGTGGAAGACCCGGCCGGGGTGGGGGTTGCGGGGGTTGCAGGGCATGTTGTCTGCCAGCATCAGGATGATTCGCTCGTCTGAGACGCCCAAATCGCGCACACTCCTGGGTGGAGAGCGGTGGAGAGTGGTGGGGTGTGGTTGAACAGGGTTGAAAGGGGTACAAGGGTTAAGGATTTTGAGGGGGTTGCCAGGGTGCGGGTTGCGGGGGTTGCATGGCATGTTGTCCGCCATCGTCAGACACGCCTAGGTCGCGCACACTCCTGGGTGGAGAGTGGTGAGATGTGGTTGAGAGGGGTTGCGGGGGATGCGGTGAAAGGTGGTTAATGGGGGGTTTGCAGGGGTTGTGGGGTTTGCAGGGCATGTTGCCCACGAGCATAAGGATGATTCTCTCGTCTGACACTCCCAGGTCCTGCACACTCCTGGTGTTCAAGTGGTGAAGGACGGCTGAAGGGGATTGTTGCTGGTATTGCGGGGTTGATGCACATGAGAGGATAATATTGCGGGGTATTGTTGTCTGCGAGCATAAGGATAATCCTCTCATCCGACACACCCGGATTCCGCAGACTTGTGTGCTTCAAGGAGTTGGAAAATCGTTGTTGCAAGGGAGGAAAATTTTGGTCGTGATTCATGGGGGTTGCAACTTGCAGGAGCGTTCAGGTAAAACATTCCTCACACTCCTGGTTAGAATCAGATGACATGAGCAGCATGCAGTGAGACGGCATTTGACACGACAGATGGCTGCTCCAAAAAGGCCTGACCAATAGTACCGTGCAGCAGCAAAGCAGCAGGGTGCATGTTACCTGTAGAGTGCGAGGGTGTTGGCGTTGTCTCGATAGTTCAGCCTGTCGTACATGCAGAGGAGACCAGGGTCGCACATTGCACATTGCAAAGCACACATCCCACATCCCACCCATATCACACACACGACACATATCACACATCACCACATGGTCGTGACTAAGGGATGAGGAATGACAAGCCATGATGTAACAGTAAAAGGGTCTCGCCCGCGTTATGATGCTTCACTTGACTTGACTGTTACATGGGAACGCATACTCCTTAACAAGCCTAACATGCTTAACCATTCCCACACCCAACACGCTCAAAAACTTGGTCACATGCCTACTCATCCCCACACTTGTCAAACCTTCACTCCCTTTCACACATCTAACACTTTCTCTCACTCACCACGATTCAACCCACATCCATGCTTACACCAGACCAGACGAATCTACTCACTCACACCTTGCCCCAACTCTTTCCTCATCACCATTCACCACCGCACTGGACCGCACCAATATGCACTCATCAGTTGCCTGACGATCCCACCAGCAGCACCCACACGTTGCTGCTGCCCGCCTTGCCCCTCTCCACCCTGACACCACACACGCTCTGCAGCTGCTCACCGCACCGCCTTCCTTATCACCACTCACCACCGCGCTGCACCCTACTGCACCTCATCAATACGCACGCACTCACCAGTTTCGCGACGATCCCACCAGCACCACCCACACGTTGCTGCTTCCCGTCTCGATCCCGCTCGCACCCATTCCTCCACTGCCTGCCTCCGCATCAGCCGATCCTTCAACGGATGCGGCGTGTGCGAGCAGAGCGACGATTAGAGACGCCCATGTTACCCGTGCGACTACTGGACGAAGCGTTCGGAGAGGCGCGAGCGACATCTCGGCTTTCGCGAATTTCGCGAACTCCGGCAGGAGACGGACGGCAATGACGGAGGCGCTGCTCAGGGCAGTTTCGAGAATTTCCAAACGGGACTGTACGTGGAGTCGAATTTTGAGCTCCAAGGGATATATTGCAACGATCTCACGTGCAGGATTACTATGACAAAGCAGTTACCGTGAAATAGATAGTCAATTTCCCGTGTTTGGGACAAACACAGGAAAACTGATGACCGCAACAAGCGGGGACGAGAGCGCGGATCACAACCATTCCCGACTGGCTGCGTGCTTGTATGCGATATGCTTGTGTGCTTTCGCTGAAACGATGCGTGCGACGACGACGATATTGGACGAAAACTCGAGTTACCCACTGGAGAACAACTTTCCTGTATAAAAGTGATCCGGGTCGTGTACACTAATGTCAACCGTATTTACAGCTCAAATTACTACTGTAGTGTGCGAAACTTCGGAGAATGATACAGCTCGGGATTCTCGAGGGGGGCGTACGCAGGAATGCAGGGAGGTGAGATTCCATTGTACGTATACCAGCACAGCACCCTTGAGAGTGCCGTGATTGTCGGAACAGGAACAGCATTGGGAGTGGCGACGACGAATCGCTCACAAGGGCGGTGTTCGCCAGCACCTTTGAGATTGGAAGAAAATGGAAGGCATTGGACTGGCAACGGCATCAGGAAGCGGGGTCGGAGCCCTCCGAAAAGGTTTGGGCGAAATGCCACCCGCGAGCTTTCCAGCCCCGACATGAGAAACTTCACAACCGCATATGGAGCCCCACACCCCACCTTCCTCCGACAGCCAATTACATCGCCAAACCACGGCGGTCCACGTGAAATGGTGGGTTGCCACGGGATGGCATGAGACGGGACGTTTGCCTGGGGAGGAAGTCGCGTCCCCATTTCCGAATGCCATGTTTCCTTCCGAAAATTGAGAAAAATGAGAGCGTTCGCCAGGCACCGCAGATTGCTTTAGGCTCGGACGACATCCTAGCTTCGGCACGAATTTTACGGGCTGACCTGGCTGACGGAGCTTAACGAACCCTAGCTGACGGGATCAGGAAGGCGTGACTGACCTTCCTGATCCCGTCGTTTTCGTTTTCAAAAGTGCTGGCGAGCACCGCCAAGCTCTTTCGAGATTCACCTAAGCATCAGCGGCGGGACTAAAGCGACCGTTTTTTGTTCCCGCGGGGGTTGCTTGCGGCCACGCTCGCGTTCTTTTATCCAGGGGTGCTGTATCCGTTCGATCACACACTTGTGAGACACGCGCCGTGATCCATCAACGATCGCCGTTCATCCATCCGCTGCCGTCGTGATCCATCAACGGTCGCCGTTCATCCATCCGCGGCCGTCGTGATTCACCCACTGTCGACGAGGCTGTTTCCTAGTATCCGTTCCTGAATCTTCCATTCCTCGCCCAACGTTTCTTGGAATCCCCACGTTCCGTGTGACCGTCTCACCTCGTCGATCACCACTTCCGTCCATCGTCGTCGTCCACATTTCCGTCCATCTCCGTCAATATCCGTCAAATTCGTCCATCTCCATCGCCGCTTCCCATGGCGGGTCGCTCGCCGCTAGGCACGGCGGGTTTGCGGCCGGACGACATGATGATCGCCGCGGGCGACGCGGAGATCGTGCGGGAGACGTACAAAAAACTACAGCCGCACCTCAGCCACCACGCATTGATTATGTTCCTCACGTAGGTACCCGCTATATGACGCCTCGTTTGCACGCATTAGGACGATATGATGATCGCAGCGAGCGACGCGGAGATCGTGCGGGAAACATTCAAACGGCTATAACCGCACCTCAGCCACCACGCGATCATCATGTTCCTCACCTACGTACCCGCTGTAGGATGGTTTATTTGCACGCGTAGGATGAGGAGAACGTGTGGGAAACGGTCAAATGGCTGCAGCGGCACGTCAGCCACCACGCGCTCATCATGTTCCTCACGTACGTACCCGTTATAAGGCGGTTTGTTTGCACGGAATAGTAGGTGGGGATCGTTTGGGATACGTTCAAACGGCTGCAGCCGCACCTCAGCCACCACGCATTGATCACTTGTACCTGCTATAAGAATGTTTGTTTGCACACATTGCGCGGAAAGATCATGCAAGAGACGTTTAAACGCCTGCCGCCGCACCACGCGCGCATCATCATATTCCTCACGTACGTGCCCGCTAGTAGGTGGTTCTTCGTTTACTTAACACGTCTCGTGCTCATCGTGTTCCTGTCTGCTGTGTTCGCTGTCTCCCAGCGTAGCCGCCCGTCATCCTCACCTCACTTTCAGCGAGCATGATGTGTTGTTTTCAAGCGAATGCCTCTCTCATTGCTCATGCCCTTTCCTCTCATCCATCTCCGCCCCCTCTCATCCCTCTCCGCCCCCTCTCATTCCTCTCCGCCCCCTCTCATTCCTCTCCGCCCCCTCTCATTCCTCTCCGCCCCCTCTCATTCCTCTCCGCCCCCTCTCATCCCTCTCCGCCCCCTCTCATTCCTCTCCGCCCCCTCTCATCCCTCTCCGCCCCCTCTCATTCCTCTCCGCCCCCTCTCATTCCTCTCCGCCCCCTCTCATTCCTCTCCGCCCCCTCTCATTCCTCTCCGCCCCCTCTCATCCCTCTCCGCCCCCTCTCATTCCTCTCCGCCCCCTCTCATTCCTCTCCGCCCCCTCTTATTCCTCTCCGCCCCCTCTCATCCCTCTCCGCCCCCTCTCATTCCTCTCCGCCCCCTCTCATTCCTCTCCGCCCCCTCTCATTCCTCTCCGCCCCCTCTCATTCCTCTCCGCCCCCTCTCATTCCTCTCCGCCCCCTCTCATTCCTCTCCGCCCCCTCTCATCCCTCTCCGCCCCCTCTCATTCCTCTCCGCCCCCTCTCATTCCTCTCCGCCCCCTCTCATTCCTCTCCGCCCCCTCTCATTCCTCTCCGCCCCCTCTCATCCCTCTCCGCCCCCTCTCATCCCTCTCCGCCCCCTCTCATCCCTCTCCGCCCCCTCTCATTCCTCTCCGCCCCCTCTCATTCCTCCCCGCCCCCTCTCACTCCTCTCCGCCCCCTCTCATTCCCTTCCTTCCAGCATATTTGACGTGTCCGAGGAGATGACGGGCCTTTTCTGGCTCGTGCCTCACTGCTCATGTGCGTTTGACCTTCATATCTTCGTCCACTGCTCGCCTCCCCTCCTCCCGCCAGCATATTTGACGTGTCCAAGGAGATGAGGGGCCTCTTCTGGTCCGTGTCGCACACTCATGTGCCCCTGCTGCCCCTGCCCTCTTCATCTGTTTCTTCTTGCACGCATTTCCTTCCCTCCAGAATATTTGACAGGTCAGAGGAAATTAGGGACCCCTTCTGGCTCGTGCCGCACTGCTTATGCATGCAACTCTCATCATGAGCTTCTCACTTGTTCATTTTCGTGCACTGCACTGCTCCCCTCTCCTCCAGCATAGTTCACGTGTCAGAGGAGATGAGGCACCCCTTCTGGTTTGTGCCCCACTGCTCATGCAACTCTTGTCATGTGCTTCTCACTTTTTATCTTCCTGCCCTGCTCTCCTCTGCTTCCCCCAGCATATTCGACGTGTCGGAGGAGATGAGGGATCTCTTCTGGTCGACATCGCAGTGCTCACTTAAGGGCCCATCCCTTTCTGTGCATGATTTTCCTCCAGCATATTCGACGTGTCAGAGGAGATGAGGGATCTCTTCTGGTTCGTACGAGACATGGACGAGCCGGCGCCCACCAACCCCGTGCTGCAGAGACACGCCAACACCGCCTTCAAGCTGGTAGGTGGAGGGAGGAAGCGAGGAGGAGGGAGGGGGGATGGGAGGGAGGGGGGTGGGAGGGAGGAACAGGGGAGGAGAGCGGGAAGAGGGGAGGTGGGGGGGTGGTTGGGGAAGGGGGAGGGGGGGAGGGCTCCTGTGGTTCGTGCGTTACATGGACGAACCGGCGCCCACCAACCCCGTGCTGCAGAGACACGCCAACACCGCATTCAAGCTGGTCAGTGTGGACAACAGGGTGTGTTTTGGTGGTTGGGTTGTGGGAACAGGTGATTGGGGACGAAAGGGGAGAGGAAAAGGGGACCTCCCCTGGTTCATTGGGACATGGACGAGCCGGCGCCCACCAACCCCGTGCTGCAGAGACATGCCAACACCGCTGTCAAGCTGGTGAGTGGGTGGAGAAGAGAAGAAGCGAGGCGGAGAGGAAAAGGGGGGAAGACAGAAACGAGGGTGAGGAAGTGGGGCTCTTCCGATTTTTCTTGAATATGGACGAGCCAGTGCTCGGCATACCTCTGGAAATGTCGGTTCTGGGATATAGGATCCAGGCCTCATGCTGTCAGTTGAATAACATGCCCCCATGCCATGACATTGACATGCCATTCCCTGCCATGCCTGCTTGCCACCATGCTGTGACACCTTGCCTTTGATCATCCCACTCCACTCTGCCCGTACATATGCCGGTAACCCATCCCGCCACGTCAGATCTGTGACTCGTGCTGCCAGCTGGACGACAGATCAGCGGTGGCCGGCATGCTGCCAGCGATGCAGGCTCTGGGCGGCAGACACATCAAGTACAACGTCAGGCGTCTACATATGGCGGTACGGTATGACGTGATGTGATGTGATATATATTTGTGACGCCCACATAGGGGCATGGTGCATAGAGCATGCGGCATGGGGCATGGGGCATGGGGCAATGGGGCATGGGACACGGAGCATGGGGCAATGGAGCATGGGGCAATGGAGCATGGGGCATGGGGCTTGGGGCAATGGGGCATGGGGCATGGGGCAATGGGGCATGGGGCATGGGGCAATGGGGCATGGGGCATGGGGCAATGGGGCATGGGGCATGGGGCAATGGGGCATGGGGCAATGGGGCATGGGACACCACGGTCCGACCGTCTTTCCTCTCGCTTGCCCTGACTCCGCCGACCTTTTCAGGTGTTCCGGATGGCCTTTCTCAAGATATTGAGCAACGCTCTGGTTCAGGGTGGGCGGACGAGGTGGAGGGAGCATGGAACAGCTGTCACTGATCATCTACTCCCCCTTCTGTTTTCAATCTATTTTCAATCTGAGCATGGCCTTCCCCACTTTTCCAGCTCTTACCGACCACCTCGATCCCTGCCTGCCTCTCCCCGCCCACTCCCTCATGTGTTTTTGATGGCATTCCTTACAACATTGGGCAAAGATTTGCGCTCAGGGTGGCCGGAGGAGGTGCAGGGAGCATGGGGCAGCTCACGCCAACACAACACACCAACCATATTATTTGTGTGATTTTCTATCCTCGCCGTCCCACTCTCAGGTGTTTCGGATGGCGTTTCTCAAAACAGTTGGCAAGGCTTTGGGTTCGGGGTGGACAGAGGAGGTGGAGGGAGCATGGAGCAGGGCGTATGGGAAGGTGGAGGAGATGGTTGCGGCAGGGCTGGGGGGAAGATGAAGGGGAACGTGGGAATAGCTGGTAATAACTGGGGGAAACTCGTTGTGAGGGAGGCGGGAGGGGGGCAGGAGGTAGGGGGGTGGGGAAGTGGAGGTAGAGCGAGCATGGAGCAGGGCGAATGGTCAGGTGGAGGGTGTGGTTGTGGCTGGGGTAGTGGGGAAATGAGGGAGGGTGGGATAATCGGGGGAAGCTGGTGGAAAGGGGAGGGGGGAAGGAGGAAGCGAGGAGATTGGTGCATATGGAAGGTGGAGGAGATGGGGTGTGGTGGGGCCAGTGGGGAGATGACTTTTGAGGTGCCTCAAAAGGAATGGGGGAGATTGGTGGATATGGAAAGGTGGAGGAGATGGGGTATGGGGGGGCAGTGGGGAGATGGGAAAGTCTGAAGGCTGTTGCGTTTTTTTAGGCGCCTTAAAAGGCTGATGCGGGAAATGTAAAAGGCGAGTGGAGGGGTGACTGGTGCACATGGGAGAGCAGAGACGAATATGACGGATTTGGCAGGGTTTTCAAGGGATAAAAAAATGCTGGAGATGCTTATGTTGGGGATGAGGGGAGATGTGTACGATAATGGATGGGGGAATGTGGGGGAGTGGAGATGAAGGGAGCATGGAGCGGGGTGTGAGGGATTCAGTACAGGAGATGGTTACAGAGGCGATGAGAAGGAGAAGATTGTGTATTGGAGCGCGTGGATAGGGAGCTGCAGAGAAGTTTCGTGGATGCATTTTCTGCTTGGTCGTCATTGCCAAGGACCCCCCAACCGGTTTGGCGATCAATTCAAAGAGTTGTAGAGTAGAAGGTTCTTATAAGGACGGGCAGAGTTACAATAAATCGAGAGAGTTATAGCTTGTACCAAAATTAGCTTCACTGTGTAGTGTGACATGACAAGTATCGACGTAAGAATTCTAGCTGGTCGAAAACATAAATACACTACTTATTGGACTAGTGGAGGCGCATCCCAGATCCTTGAAACGCGACCTAGATTTTGAATGCGGAAACCAAGCAGAGGAGGTTCGGTGCCAAAGCTTCTTGCCAAGCCTCAGAGACAAAGCTTCGGGGTTAAATGTGAAAGGGAGATTCAGTACGGTACGTGGATATAGAACGGTAGTGAGTGAGATTCAAAAGCAGGTGCAGTCAACCCTTGGTATTGACTGGCTTCCCCGAGTTTGTCGCTCATTTCCCCTCAGCTTTCGTCACCTCTCGCCGTATCGCAGCGCGGTTACAAACTTACTAGCGGGTAGTCCCTGAAAATGCATTCGGGCAGTCGCTAAAATAACTCGCCTACTTCAAACGCAGCAAGCGGCCAAGCCGCGGCAAGAACGCGCTCCAGAAATTCGAATGCGGGCAGCCAAGCGACCATTGCGGGAACAAAACACAGTCTCAGGCTCGGCAGCGACATGAGAGAATCCCGCGACATTCTCCCTACCGAGCCTGGACTCTCTCCCCCAAACCAAGCCACTGGGGCCCTTCTCCCTCGCCATCCCATCACCTCTCGCCATCTCTGACTCAGCGCTGCCGAACAAGGTCTCGTCTACTTCGCCTAACAAATCTGCAGCCAAAAAACAACTTCTATCGTCTCAAGTTAGCTTCTGCATTCTGCACTCCATCGCCTCTAGCCTTCGGATAAGCTTCACGTTTGCTCACGTTCTGAAGAGTCACCACGATGGCCTTAGAGCCTGACTACCCCTCGTACTTCAGTGCGCTTAGTTTTTGGAAGAATCTTAGTTGCAATACCAATTTGACGCAACCCTTGCTGCAGCCTCGGAGCTCTTCCAGCAGCACGATCAAGCTCCGCCAGGCCGACAGCTTCGGGCTGGCGCCCTACGGCAGCGAAGCTGGCGACGCGATGCTCTCCTACGCTGACGCCAGCAACGAAAGCGTCGACGACGCCAGACGCGACGAAGCCTGTCTTATCGACGCTGCAGCATCGCTGCTAGGAATGACGAATCAAGAAGTGCAAGATTCAGCGACATCGGATCCGACGACGACCGATCTGACATCTTCAGGTTCGTCGATGTTGGATTGGCCAACTTCGGATCCAATGGCGTCTGTACCGGCGGCTGTGACGTCGCCGACGGAACGGGTGGCATCGGAATCGATAATTTCGGAATCGTCGGAAGCGGTGATGTCGGAACGGGTGGCGTCGGAACCGTTAACTTCGGAAGTGGCAGCGTCGGAAGCGGTGACGTCGGAATCGATGTCTTCAGAATCGATCACTTCGGAAACGGCGGAGGCGTCGGAAGCGGTGGGGTCGAAACTGCAGGCGTCGGAACTGGTGGCGTCGGAAGCGGAGGCGTCGGTAGCGGAGGCGTGGGAAGCGGAGGCGTCGGTAGCGGGGGCGTCTGAAGTGGCAACTCCGAAACCAGCGGTGACATTGCAACCAGCAACATCGTTGTCGCCGGTTGAAGGTTCACTGACGGCGGCATCTGGGTTGGCCAAGGCAGCGACAAACTTGGTACCTACCTCATTCGTGCTGCCGTCTCGCATCCCCAAACCAAGCGGTCAGAGAACGTTGTTCGTGAAAAGCCGCGCGGCGGAGGGTTCGACGCTGATTCTGCGGCCCGCAGGAGCCACTGCAGCAGAACGGCAGGTGCGCGGACGAAGGAGCTCTAAAGACACGAAGCAGCACGAGGGGAGGAGCGATGCGATTCCCGCGGCTTCTAAGCAGCTTCGTACTGGATCATCGTCCGCGCTAGTGCGGTCTGCAAGCTCCCGGCGTCCATGGCGGCCGTGAACACTGATGTGACTCGCTGGTGACTCAGCAGGTCGGACATATCAACCTCTAACCTTCTCATGTACCAAGACTGGACCCGTCGTTTAAGAAGCAGCAGAGTCAGGACTACGACTCCAGCGGGATGAAGATGTGGGGAGCACAGAAGCAGAGCCAGAAGCAGATCGCAGCAGTGGGGTGGTGGTTGGGAGGTTGGGGAAGTGGGATGAAGGTGGGACCCTTTTTTGCACCCTGCTCGTCAGGGTGTTCAGGAGAGTGGGTTGGCGAAACTGGTGTGGGCTGGAAAGATCGTCATCTGCTGTCATGTGGCTGTGCCTTGGGTTCCCTCATAGGTTGTCTCTCGTCCAGTGCGCTCCCAGAGGGATGGTTCTGGTCCGGTGCGCTCCCAGAGGGATGGCTCCGGTCCGGTGCGCTCCTTAAGGGATGGCTCTGGTCCGGTGCGCTCCCAGAGGGATGGCTCTGGTCCGGCGCGCTCCTTAAGGGATGGCTCTGGTCCGGTGCGCTCCCTAAGGGATGGCTCTGGTCCGGAGCGCTCCCAAAGGGATGGCTCTGGTCCGGTGCGCTTCCGAAGGGATGGCTCTGGTCCGGTGCGCTCCCAAAAGGATGGCTCTGGTCCGGTGCGCTCCTAAAGGGATGGCTCTGGTCCGGTGCGCTCCCAAAGGGATGGCTCTGGTCCGGTGCGCTCCCAGAGGGATGGCTCTGGTCCGGTGCGCTCCCAAAGGGATGGCTCTGGTCCGGTGCGCTCCCAGAGGGATGGCTCTGGTCCGGTGCGCTCCCAGAGGGATGGCTCTGGTCCGGTGCACTCCCAAAGGGGTTGCTCTGGTCCGGCGTGCTTCCAACGGCTGGCGCAAGTGCGGTGTTATCTTTAACCATGCCAATTAGTCACTTGCTGTTGCTCACCTTGTGTTAGGTTCATGATTATACTGAAATGGTTTTGTAGTTGCATGTATTTGGTCTCTTACAATATTTGTGGCTGATTAAGCGTGTTTTTTCAGAAAAGGGAGATAAAAGCCAGCAGCTAAAATAGTGACCCCCCCCCCCACCTTCTAGTTGGGTCCACTTGAATTCTTAATGGAAGTTAGGGTGTTATGTTTTTTTGGGTTGCGAAGCAACCTATTACGATCGTTATGTACAATTTTTTTTCAATCCTACATACTTCAAAAAATAAAGGATGGAAAAAATCTAGTGAACGGTACTAGCTAAGTGACTGACTACTAACGAGGAGTGAGAACGGAATGAATTAACTTTGAAACAGTTGGGTACCGGTACAAGTACTAACTCTAATTGGGTTGTACCCCTCCTGGGCTACCCCACTACAGCCCATACAAATGTGTAAGCTATCATGTTCTGACACACCCCCATAGGCAAAGTGGGGGAGAACAAGCGGTCACAAGACCAGTCAAGCAAAGCAACGCAAAGCAAGCTCAAGGTGGATCACAAAGTCACCACACAGTCCGAGCACAAGAGTAAGGCCACAAGGCCAGTTCACATGCAAGGTCATATATATAAAGGTAAAACAAGCAAGGGCAGGTATAGAAAGAAAACAGTACAAACAAGATCAAGAAGTGAGCAAGTGAGGCCAGGTAGGCACAAGACCTAGCACAGTACAGAAGCGCTGATGATGACAAGGCGGAAGGGCCTTGGTGAAGATATCAGCAGTGTTGGCCTCAGAAGCCACGTAGGTGAGGCGGAGCTGACCACGCTGATGCAGCTCACGAGACAGGAAGTAGCGGAGAGCAATGTGCTTCGTTCTGTGCTCCAGTCTGTGCTCCCGACACAAGGCCAGCATGGCCTTGTTGTTTACGTACCGAACTGGAGGAGAACGAGGGGGCTCTCATAGGTCAGTCAGCAGGTAGGTGAGCCAGCGTAGCTCCTGTGCAGCCATGGCCCCTGCGTAGATCTCAGCCTCACAGCTGGAGCCGAGAACAGAGGACGAGCAGGTAGACCGCCACGAAACAGAGCCGGAGCCAAGGCTGAAGGTGTAACCCTGTGACGACCGCTGCGTAGCTTGGTCGTCAGCCCAAGAAGCGTCAGCATGACCTGTGAGGACTACTCGACGTCGCCCTCCAAGCACTAGCCCCATGCCCGACGTACTGCACACGTAGCGCAACACCCTCTTCGCTGCAGCCATGTGCTCCGGTCTGTGTTTCCCAGGAGCAACATAGCGTGCCAAGATGCTAAGAGGGTATGCAAGGTCAGGTCGAGTGCAGGTCATCAGGTACATGAGGCAGCCAACAAGCTCTGGGTACGAGCCACTCGACTCTACGGACTCATCTGAAGGCAGAGCTGAGAGCGAGTGGTGAGTAGACAGAGGACTGGCCTGAGGCGAGGAGTACGTGAAGCCGAAGCGCTGAAGGACCTGTTGCACCATGTGTGACTGAGTCAGGGTAATGGTGCGCTGTGCTCTGTCCCGAGTGATCTGCAAGCCAAGGTAGCTGCGCAGTTCACCCAGGTCTGTGCACGTGTGTCTCTTCTGCAGCTCGGACTTTACGTGGGCGAGTCCACCAGTGTCAGCAGTGGCAAAGACCAAGTCGTCGACGTACACGAGGATGTAGAACGGCTGCAAAGAGGTGTCGGTGCGCAGAAACAGCGATGGGTCGGCTTTAGAAGGAGCAAACCCAAGAGCCGCAAGTGTAGTCCTCAGTGTGTCGTGCCGCTCACGGGGCGCCTGGCGGAGACCGTAGACTGGCCGCCGGAGGCTCCACTGGGTACCAGGAGGAAACGACCCAGTGAAGCCAGGAGGGCGGCGCAGCCAGATCTCCTCGTGCAGGCTGCCCTGCAGGAAAGCTGTGCTGAAGTCAAGAGAGTGAAGCTCGTAGTCGCGCTGAGCGGCTATGTGCAGCAGCACCCGAAGAGTGGTCATCTTCGGGGTGGGAGAGAAGGTCTGAAAGTAGTCAACTCCCTACCGCTGACTGAAGCCTCGAGCCACGTAACGCGCCTTGAAGACAGGCGGAGAGCCTGGCGGCCGCTTCACCCTGAAAATCCACATGCCACTGAAGATTGTCAATTTATAATCTTGTGTAGGCTATAGTGGGGTAGCTCATATGGGGTATACATTTCTAGGGTTGCATATTTGTATCACTTCCATTCCATAGTCATTCATTCTCGTTCTACTTTCCTCATGGTATCGAGCAGGTTCCCCCGTGGAAACTGTGCCTAGGGCCCACCACATCGAGCCTTTTTTTTTTCCTGCACGAAGCGCGCTCAGCCTGAGTCGCGCTCCGGGCTCTCACTTCGTCGAGCCGCCCTAGCGGCCCCAACGCCCTAGCGGCCTCGTCGCCCTAGTGGCCCCGCCGCCCATCGATTAGGCCCCGCCGCCCTAACGGCCCCGCCGCCCGTCGATTCGGCCCCGCCGCCCGTCGATTAGGCCCCGCCGCCCTAACGGCAATGCCGCCCGTCGATTCGGCCCCGCCGCCTCTCTCGCTGCGGCCCCGCCGCCCTTCTCAGCGGCCCGGCCGCCCTTCGCTGCGGCCCCGCCGCCTCACACTGAGGCCCCGCCGCCCTTCGTCGCGGCCCCGCCGCCTCTCTCGCTACGGCTCCGCCGCCCTTCTCAGCGGCCCCGCCGCCCTTCACTGCGGCCCCGCCGCCGTTCGTCGCGGCCCCGCCGCCTCTCTCGCTGCGGCTCCGCCGCCCTTCTCTGCGGCCCCGCCGCCTCTCCCGCTGCGGCCCCGCCACCTACCTTACGGCCCCGGCGCCCTTCACCGCCCGCTCCGTCCGAGCCGCTCGAGCCGCCTGAGCCCCTGAGGAGCTGAGCCGCCCGAGCCGCCTGAGGAGCCGAGCCGCCTGAGGAGCCGCCTGAGCCGCTGAGGAGCCGAGCCGCCCGAGTCGCCTGAGCCGCCCAAGCTGCCTAACCCTGCTGAGCCGCCCGAGCCGCCTAAGCCACTGAGGAGTCGAGCCCCCCGAGCCGCCCGAGCCACTGAGGAGCCGAGCCGCCGAAGCCGCCCGAGCCGCTGAGGAGCCGAGCCGCCCGAGCCGCCTGAGGAGCCGAGCCGCTGGTACCGCGGAGCCGCAGTTGCTGCTGAGCCGTCCGAGTAGCCGTGTTGCCGTGTTGCTGTGCTGCTCAGCTGCCCGAAACGCCCTGTCTGGTGAGAACAGTGCTTCTGTCACTGCACTGCCCTTGTCCTACAGTTGACACTGCTAGTCTACTGCTGTCATGGCTACCCCTAGTGTCCTCGCTTTTGACGCTGAGGGTCGCGCCATTGACTTTGAGGTCTGGGTCGACGACCTGCAGCTGTACTTATAGTGCGATAGGGCAGACGGTCTCTCTCTCTCTTTGACCTCACCTCTGGCGCCTCTCCTGCCCCTGCTGCTGATGCTGACTCTAGTGTTCGCTCCCAGTGGGCCACGCGCGATGCTGCTGCACGTCTTGCTGTGCGTCGCCACCTGCCTACCGCTGAGCGCGCGCACTTTAGTCAGTACAAGAGTGCTCAGACCTTGTACGGCGCTGTAGTTGCGCGCTACTCTTCCCCTGCCACTGCTGCACTGAGCCGCCTCATGCTACCCTTCCTCTTCCCTGACCTTGCTGCCTTTCCCACAGTCGCTGACCTCATTACGCACCTCCGCACTAGTGACACTCACTACCGCGCCGCGCTTCGTGCTGAGTTCTGCGCCAAGAACCCCCCCCCCCCCCATGTACATCACTCTCTATTTTATAGTCACCCGCCTCCCTGACTCCCTTCGCGTAGTCAGGGACCACTTCCTCTTGGTCTGTCCCACCACTCTCACTGTTGACCTCTTAGAGAAGGCCCTCCTAGCAGCGGAGAAGAGCATCGTCGCTGTAGGAGCCTCTCGTGGTGACCCTCGCACCCCCATCTTTGAGGGGTGTTCTCCTTCCCCCCTTTTGCCCTCTGTCGCCTCTGCCGCTGCGGCCGACCTCGTTGGTCTTGAGTCGGTCGGTGCGGCGTCTGCCCCTAGCGGGAGACGCCGCTCTGGCAAGGGCAAGGGGGGCAAGGGTGCGGGTGGAGCTAGTGGGGGCGGTGGAGGTGGCGGTGGAGGCGGCGGAGGGAGTGGGGGTGGCGGTGGGAGTGGTGGCGGGGGTGGAGGTGTCGGTGGCAGCAGTGGAGGCGGAGGCGGCGGCAGTCCTAGCGGAGGCAGCGGTGGTGGCGAAGGTGGAGGAGGCGGTGGAGGAGGAGTTGGGGGTGGTCGGGGTGGCGCTTCGCAGCGGAGCAGCACTGGTGGTGGTCAGCACCAGCAGCAGTTGCAGTTGCAGCAGCGTTCTCGGGACATCCCCCCCCCTCAGCAGCTCCGTGAGTGGTACACGCAGCGTCAGCGTGGTGGGGGCTTTGGTCCCTGCACCTACGTCCTTCGCACCGATGACCGCGCGGGTGAGCAGTGTGGGGGTGCCCACCCCACCCAGCGCTGCTTTGGCCGCCTGACGGACGCTTGGCGTCAGCAGTTCCCGGAGGCCAGTGAGATCCCCCGCTGGGGAGAGCTGTCTAGGGCAGGCGTAGCTATCTATGATCTTGACTTTGATGCTATCCTTGCTGCCATGTATGCTGTGACTATTAGTGATGAGGGTGACTGTTACCGGTGTTTCCCGCCCGACCCGGGCATTGGTACTGCTGCTCTAGGTGCTGGTGAGGCTGCTGCTCTAGGTGCCAGTGCGTCTGCGCCCTCAGGTGGTGAGTCTGCACTCTCAGGTACTACGTCGGCTTCGGCCTCCCTCACCTTCACCCTTGACTCTGGGGCTTCTGGCTCCTTCTTTCGGGACCGCACCACACTCACGCCGCTTAGTCGGACGGTTGCGGTGTCTCTGGCTGACCCCTCTGGGGGCCCTGTCCTGTCTCGCTTCTCCACAGTCCTCCCGTGTCCGGCGGCTCCCTCTGGCACCCTGTCTGGTCTCTACCTCCTCTCGTTCTCTACGAACCTG